CAACAACAACAACAACAACAAACAGTTGATGATCAGTTGATGTGCTCTTTCTGCTTCCAGCAAAAACCAAAGAACAGAACATATGTCGTTTTCTCTTTTTTTTTGGTTCACCTCGCCTCGGAGGTCCGTCTTCCTTCCCTTCCCGTCTTCCGTCCAGCTGCTGGAGCGGGGCATTTCGGCTCCTTGGGCCTCCCGGGGTCCTGCGCCTCGGCCACGAGGCCTTCGAACTTCCTGGCTGCCGGAAGCTGACAGGTAGCATGGTGAGTACTAAGAACATCTAAACACTCATATACTAGCATGTTTATATAGTACTTGTTATATATGTAACAATTGCCTATAGTTACTGTGATATATATAATATATCAATTTGATGCGAGATATATCAACAATTATAGGGAAACGCATCATCATTCAAGTCCGTTTCATGATCTCAAAGCTTCATGGACCCAGTGTCATTGAGCTTGGAACTGGCCATGTGCGAGAAGCATAGATACATGGGGCAACGTATCCAATGGCATGTGTTTTTGCGCTACCCCCTCACTGTCCAATGGCCTCTCGTGGGTGATCAAGTTGAAAGGTGCCTCCTTTCCTCAGTGATGACAGGAATTTCTTGAAACTCTCATGTCCGGTCATGAGCATGTCATTCCCCATGGCCCCCCCCATAAATCCAACACTCGGATTTGTTGCCCCCAGTCGCCCAATTCCAAAGAAACCATGTCGAAAGACCGAACCTCCAAAAGATCATTGGACCCCCTACTACCAACGACAAGCTCAAGTTGAAAGTGGCGGCACGAAATGGCACGAAGGTCCTCAAGACCTGAGAAGGTGACACTCCACCAATCTGATGATGGTCCTCCCATCATCAGGGACATCCTTCAAACACAGTCTACACTCTGGAAGATTAACATGGATCCTGAAAACCACTGGGTTGTAGAGGGAAATAGTCTTCCAAATGAACATTTCCAGGCTCCATGTTAATCTTCCCGGTATAGATTTCAGCCACCCAAATTCCCAAGAAATCCCAAAGACCGAATCGAGATGAATCGAGGCATCCGACTCAGAATGGCGAGAGAGTGATTGGCCCAGTGGCGCAGCTGCACGTCCCGTGCCAAGTTCAAATACTTCCGCTTGGCCTACCGACTCGTCGGGAACCGTATGAACCGCGCCCGCAAAGGCGTGCGCTGCGCAAGTGCACCGCCCGCAACTGTGAATGCCAAGGGATGCCGTTTGGATTGTGGTCAATTAGGTTTGTGTTGGTATTTGAGGTCGATGTGTTGTTAATTGGAGACTTAGACATTGTTTTTTCCACAGGTTCACTAATAGAGGATCCAGATTGAGGGACTCATCTGGGCAGCTGATGAGGACCGAAGATAGATGGCAGCTCCATGACATCTTAGCCACACGCTCTACAAGCAGTGCCCTCGGTAGGAGCTCACAGCCCAAGGGAGGAGCATCCCTAGGATGGTGTCTTCACAAAACTCAGGAATGACGATCCCTTGTACCCCTTTGCCGACATTCCTTACTTCTTCCCTGCTGAATCTTAGGTCATGTCTTCTTTTGGGCCTGTCCCACAATCGTTTCACAAGGCGCCCACCAACTTGGACAACTCATCTGCAAGTCATTGCTTCAAGTCCTCCTTTCTCGCACTCTGCTAGTGACCGCTAGCGAACGCGGTCACACGCCAACCAACCGACCAACCGACCAACCACTCAGCCAGCCAGCTAGCCAGCCAACTGACCAACGAAACGACTGTCATTGCCTCTTCTTCGAAGTCTCTCTGTTTTTGTTCCCGTTCCTTGGCGACAGAACGGGAAGTAAACCAACAACATCAGCATGAACCGAGTCGAAATATTGGATGACTCGTGTAGATTTGGAATTTGGAACTTACTCTGTCTAGAGATGGATGGACCACCTTGCTTAGCGCTTAGCTGGGGTTTACTTATAGGTGTCTTCTTTCCCCGAGGCTTCTTCAGGGCTTGGTGCAACCAAATCGGACGCGTCATATCTTGAGATAGCTTGACACGTGTCAGTCCTCGATGATCGATGGCACATGGGGGCATCTCATCCGTCCAACAATGCTTCTCAAATCTCAAACAGTCCAAGGCTCTTCGTCCAAAAAGCGCCCGAGCAAGGGATTGTAGCTGCGCTCTCGCTTGCTATTCTCGCCCCGGATGGAGCCTTGAAAAAACGATGGGACAGATTCTGCAAACGACTGCAGAAGTACAAGGGTCCATCACGATATGATGGATGCCAAAAGGAATCCACTACCGACTGAAGCATCGTCAACCCGTACTAGACATGAATATCCCGTGAGTAGAACTCTCCCAGATTTCTCTCATGTTCTTCTCTAGCTTCCCACCAAAACCCAATTTCAGCAAACCAAAGATGGAACCCCTCAAAAGAAACTCGTAAACCACTAACAAACCTCTCAACAAAGAAACGCCTCTTGCCTCCGTGTCACCTCCTTGATGTGCCACCCTCTTTCACTGGTCCCACATGATCCCACATGGTCACATGGTCCCACCCTCTCCCCCCTCTCCCTGACAGGGCAGGAGCGGCAGGAACCGCTTGCCTACGTGACGCGGCTTGAAGAGATCTGGGTGCACTTTCACCCGTCGCTCATGCCTTGAGGCACACGGATCTTCGCAAATGAACACGAGGCAAATCACCAAAGGTGTATCCACTTCCCGGCACCTTTTTGGGGGGGTGCATGTTTCAGGTCATGTTTCGCACACCACCTATCCTGGTGCGTCGTATGACAACTGGCTTCAGCGGACCTCCGGGTGGCCTGGAGGCGGACCTCCGGGTGCCATGGTACTTGTTCGATGTCTGGAAGTCATGCTCCATGCCATGCCCATGGTGGTACAAGGTCGATGAAACCTGAGATTGACAGCTTTCTTTCTATATAAATGTTCCATAGATCGATCTTGCAGTTCAACGTGATGGCTGCCGATATCATCCGATATATCTACTAATCTACCCTTTGGGGTCCCAAGAAACAAAATTGGGGTTCTCCACTGTGTAGAATACAGGTTTGGCGCAAAGGTCAGCTCTGCATTTCTCATGGTTTTGGAGCCGCGAAACTCCCCCCAAAAAAAGACACCAGCACACATTATACACATTTGCAGGCATGGCATCTAGCAGTAGCACCTGGAACGATGAGCTCACAGCCGTGTATGTGAGGTGTAAACACCAACACCTGAGAATGATGCTACGAGTAACAAAATTGAATGTATAGTATAGGGATGTATAGGGTGATAAATGTGACCTATATACCAAGTGTCCCAAATCTATTTTAAAAAAAAAGAAACACATAGCTTGCCGTGTTTCTGAGAGACCTGTGGAGATCACACCCTTCTAAGACCCTATGGCAAGCAATATGAAAACAACAAGGACTGGCTCAAGCTTCCACTGCAAAAAAACAGTCCTGGTTTGGTTGACCCCCCCCCCCTCCGGCCAAAGCGGCTGATAGTCCTGGACCTCCTGCGCCCAGCTGGCCATCGCGTCTTGCCTCGTGGCATCAGACACGGTTTGGGGGGCATCCAAACGGTGTCGTTCCCCGTCGATTGTGGAGCACTTCACTGCAACCCTTGAGCCGCTTTTTGGGGTCACGCACAAAATCACTCATGTTGGCAAACAGGAAAAATGCATGCGGCATTCACGACTGAACTAAAACCACAAGCAAACATTGGAATGAGATTGTAAAAAATGGCCTTTGAGCATGCGATGTATGGATGGACTGCACAACCAAATGCAAGTCAAGAGACTCTCGCACGAAATGCTTCACAAGTTACAGGCCCTTAGGACTGTTTAGGACCAACAGGTCCACACCCCTGCAGCTAAACAGCTATATATGACAATACACATGGAAGGTCCCACTGAAAACATGGTTTCCGATCCCTGGTGACCGCGTCCATCCATTCCGCCCTGGGCTTCCCCAACGACGGCTTCGGTGGGGCAGCCCTTCACCACAGGAGCCAAAGTGGCACGCCGTAGTTTGGCTCGGATCACTGACAAAGAACAGGGCATATCATATAGTATAACCATTAAGTACCTCAACAGGTTGCAAGTTTTCAATAAAGGATGGTGTGTGGGTGCCTTTCCGAGAGGCCAAAACATCCTGTCCGTGAGGGTCACCGAGCAGCTTCACAATGCTGGGTTTGCCTGCACTTCCGAGTGCATGTGTAAGCACCACATGCGAAAGTGTTGCTGTCAGGTTGCTTTTGGAATTCCTTCTCTCTGTTTTTCTTGCATGAAATTTGTATGGAGAAGCAAATCGATCTCGAAGAACCCATTCATGGTGAATGCAGTAAATGGAGACTGTATCAAACTGTCAAACCGGTGATGCCAGCAGCAATGAGCAGGATCAAAGACTGAAAGGAAGAACAGCAGGAAATTACCACAAATGTAAGAGAGTTGCACTTTGCATCAACCATGACAACCCATGTCACAACAGCCGGAAGGCTTGACGACGCCGACAGCTTCAAAACTGGAGGTATCTGGAGTGTGTGACCTACTCCATGCATCTACTGAAAGTCAAATGGAAGTCTATGTACCATTATGTACCCATTCAATGGAGCTTGACTTCAGCTTGACCCCCAAAATCTCTGAAGTGCCCAGCGTTGGCACACTTTTTGTCCCTTTGAGCTGAGCGCCACTAAAGCAATCACACGAGGTAAACGGCGAAGCTACCCCTCCAGGCCCAAATGCAACATCGGCGGTTTAACCCTTCTCTGTTGAGCTCACAGGGGAGTGTATATATCTTTGTGCTGTACCTGATTCTACCTGCCGCTCAGTTTCGGACCGCTCCCAATGAAGCAAAGGCAAGGACACCCAACATCTGACACCTGATGAATTGGTTCAAAACCCTTCAAACGCCAGTGAATTCCCTTTCAAAGTGTTTAGGGAATTTCAGGGATATGTTTAGGGTCCGATCGCACCCCTCATGTTTTCGACAGGCTCAAGACATGCGTTGCGACGCCATCTGAACAGCTACGAATCGAGAAAGCCCGGGGAAGTAGCTTCCCAGCTCATTGCACTACGTTTCTTCCTCGTGCGGCAGCGGCCAGGAGATCAGCACCGTGTTGACGTGGAATGATCTGCGGAGATCGAACACCCTGGAGAACTCGATGGTTTGTTTTGAGTCGCAGGGACGGCCAAGCGGTGGAGGCCATGGCAACTAGTAACAAGAAGCTACTTGTAGCAAGAGACAAACGCGAAAGTGATTTAAAGGGCAACCTGAGTAGATGACAGAATCCGACACCGACGATTGGGATACATGTTATTATACAACTTACGCTGCTTGTCCGCTTGTTGGGTTTTCAACATCTAAGACCCCCAAGGAAGAAAAAGGCATAAAACGATCAGACTGAAAGTCCAAAGTCCTCTGAAGAAGGTTACTTCATCAGCCCACTTGAAGACTATTCGGTTCCTTCGGTGCCTACACGCCGCTGCCGTGCTCAGGTGAAACTCTGACCCGCAACCAAGTCGGGATGTCACTCCACGAATTGAGGCCTTGAAGTGATAACGGGTGTATCTGCAGACCTCTGCGTGCCTGTTCCCAGGGGTTGAAGAGCTTGCCCTAGAGTTTTGGTCCAAGTTCCAAGCATTAAGAAGCTGAGAAAATGGCTCGGTCAAGTAGCTGACAACCAAAACTACGAAGTGAGGCTCAAACGCACAACGGACAAAGAACAGCTTTCCTGGCGCTGATGGTCTCAACAAAGCAAACAATGGTCCATGTCAATGTGCCATTCTCCCAACCCGATGGGGACAATGGCCGTCTCAGCTGCCTTTAGGCCTTCCAGGGTGTTCGGGCATTTTGTTCGGGAGACGAAACCTGGATGAGAACGGTCTCCTGAGAAGGTACAATATGCACAAAGACACTGGAAACTATAGAGATGCAATAGAGATGCATTGACGAGACATCGTGCATGGTAACCAATTGTATGAAGTCTTTACAGGATTCTATGGGTTACACATACTGCACATTCCTCGTGCCTACTTGGCAAGCGAGGTTCCAAAATGCATGTATAGAAGTGGTCTTGGTTGCCCCCCACTCGACTCCAGGGAATGTCGGTGTCACCATGTAGATCTCCGTCGTCCAGCTTCGGGAAGTTCGTCGTTCAACTATGGCCCTCATTGGCCCAATACCTTTCCAGCCTTCAACTGGCTACTACTAGGAGAGATCGGACGCTACGTTCGGGGCTCCTGGGCCTTACTACTAGGAACAAATTGCACAGCCCCAAATCCATCAAAACCTTTTGGACTTGGTTGGGTCCCAAAACTTGTGTGCCACGGGCCACGCTTCCGTTTGGAGGACCCGAAGACCGTCTTCGGGTCCTCCAAATCGGAGACGCAAGTTAAAGAAACTCTGGGTCATTTAACGGGCTTCAACAACTGTTGAAATGCTGCAGCTTCTCTGATACTGATTCTCTGATTAATTTGTAGCATGCATGAACCCAACCCGAAGTGAGATCAAGTCTCTTCCCGCTAGCCGGCCTTCTCAACACCAACCCTTTCCATTTGGCCGCCCTAAAATGGTCTGATTCTTGCATGACGGCAATTACCAATGGAGCCACCCGCAGCATGTGGAACAATCCACCTGGTGACATGCTCACCCGCATGAGGTAATTGTTGACCCACTTTGCTCAGGTTTTGGCTCTCAACCAAAGATTGAAAGATGGGTATATTAGTACCAATGGGTAGTACCAATTGTAATTTGTTATGTTTATCACAAATCCATCCATCCATCTTTTCCGTGAGGGTGACTTTATAGGCGTTATTCCAAGGATCAGTAACCTCACATTCATTCTGCCCTTGATTTGCCTGAGAGTTTCTAATTACTATCGAGGCCTCACTCCGTGGTGCTTTCGCGAGATCGACCGGCCGATTCCCACAATGCTGCCAGCCTCAGTGAAGGCTGCCAGCCTTTGCCCAATGAGGAGCTCCGGTCCGGCTCACGGATCGCGTCCTCGTGGTGAGTCGAAAGGGCTTCTTCGCTGTGATGCAAACTGAGACTGGGTGGTCAGGTAGTAGCCGCAACGTGAGACTTCGTGTGGCTTCATCTTAGCAGGTTGAAAGCTTCAATGTACCCTCGACGGTTCGAAGTAAACGATTTGCTTCCTGGAGTATATATCGGTGGACGAGGCACCACACGGCCGAGCTGAAAACGATGACCGTCCTCGCCCACAGAGGGCGCCGTGGATCTCGAGCCGAAGAAGTCCGGCAGACCTGGAGAACATCGTCCCTGGTGGAAGCAGTCGAGAACAGGTCTACTATGGTCTACTGAGATGCTTCTTAAAGCGCTCCAGCACATGAAGTTCCAATCATGTAAAATCCATGCTTCTCATTGTTGATTCCTGATGGCTTCTCAACAGTTTGTCGGGCTTTCGCATTGCAAAGCAACGGCCGTTCCCCAGCCTGTCATGGTTCCACCGATTGAGTCCTTGCTGAGTTAGGCTTGGTCACGGTCACCTGGGATCTAAAACCCCAAACATGGACCCCTGAAAGTGATGAGCCCCTTTGACTTCGAGGGTTTTTGAGGGTACAGGGCATGGTGAATTCTGGGTGAGGCTGTGCATGGGGGAATTCGGAGAAATCTGCCTCAATATCTGCCTCCTAATCACGTCATGCTGTGGCAAGTTATGCCAGCATAAGCTTGACGTGGACTGACCTACCTGAGTCTTGCATGGCACTGCCAAACATCCATGAATCCACATACAGTTTCCGTTTCTTCCATCCATTCAGGAACCCCCCCTCCTCGAAGTCCGCTGCAGTCCCTTCGGCATAGCCCAGGCCTTCCGGAGTTGAGCAAATGCTTTTTGGCAGGTCACAACGCAACAGCACAACAGCATGTTCATGATTGCTGATGTGTGTGGAGACAGACTTGTATCGCACATAGTTTGTGATGCATGATCAGAAAAGACTTGGCAACTGCCACCCTGGTGTTGCCAACTCTCTTGCTAAGCAGAACCCTCATGAGAGGACTGCTACGAATTCATGAGAAGTGAACCATCGGTTTCAGGTGCCAAAAAGGTTCTTCTGAGAGGCTGCACTATCCACCTGGAAAGGTCTGGGGTACCTCAATATTTGACTGCTGGGTCAATGGTTTCCATTGGCTGTGGCAACTCCACTCCGGGGCGTGGGCCGTACTTCGCCCGGGAGAACCTCAACAAAAAAGGGTAAAAATGCGCATTCGGAGCCAGGGGTGAAGAATGGCGAACATCAAGTTGGGGTTGATCAAACATTGTATGTGGGAAAGAGTGTGGGAAAGCTCCAACCGCCGATCAATCGCAATTGAAATCGCGTTTTTCCCCCAAAAGCGAAAGCTATTGGGGTTCTTAGTTCAAGTATACAGGAAGAGGTGCCTGTGCGCACTGTTGAGCTTGGGTGCTGGTACCGCTGCACCTTTAGAGCTTGGGTGCTGCTGCAGGGCGCTGCTGCCAGATGTGTGGCCGTGTGCGCTGATGGCCCTAAAACTTGGTTGGCTGCATCTTCTAAAGCAGGACCGAAAGCATGAGAGGTAACGGTCTGGGTTGGACTAGCCAGCTTGTTCCATTGACCTGACGTCATATACTTGATACTATACTTGATCACATCCAAATCACGCCTTGGCCCTTGCACTTCTGGCTTGCCCTTCTCCAAACAAAGTTCGAAGAAGTGGGAACGATCAATGGCGTGGGGGCCACTGAGGGAGGTCTAACAATCGCCTCACAATCGCGGTTCAATCACAGATTTGACTTTGGTTTAAAACATGTCTGCAGAAATCAACATCATTCTTGAGTTCTTCTTGCTTATGCAAATGCTTTGAGCATTCTATTGTTCTGAAGCTTCTTTGGTTCTTTATGTTGATGCACAACATAAGGATCACATATATATATATATTTATTATAAGCAATAGGTAATCAATACAGCTCTCAATCGCGAAAACTTGAGGAGATGGGGGTGGACGAAAGGTAGCATGTCTGCGGCTGCGGCTGCTGCTGCTGCTGGT